AGATAGGAATGAATGCGTACCACCCGATTTAGAAGAACAGTATGCGAACCAAAAGAAAGATGAAAACCCAGACCACGGTTGTCCTGAAGGTATAGATTGATTTTAATATGTTGTCCTTTGACTTTGTCAACCCACGAACTATAGAAATAGGCCTAATATTAAAGATAATTATTTAGCCAGTTGAAAATCATTTATTCTGTGTTCACGGACATATAGAGATTAACATGATAAAATGCCTTCAAATTAGTCTACTAGGACGTAAGAAAGCAAATTTTTTCGGGGCCTCCAGCCCCTGGACCCCGACCGGGGGCGCCAGACTGGTTGCTCACTGCATTCGCAAAACGCACCCACCATTCAAAAAGCTGGATACGGGCCTGATAACGCAGCACCCCACCCCCCTTAGTTCCGTGTCCTCGGACACAGTTGCCAACCTCAATTTTACAATTAAACATTTTTATGAGAAAAAATCCCTGTCAATTAACAGTAAACGTTTCTGCAGTATATTTTTACATGATTCATTGGCTGGTAAGATTTTTTTGTTTTCGTGGAAGTTTTTTTTTTTTTACTTCCATCTGGTTTCGATCGTTTTGAATAAGCTATTCAATTTTTAAATTGGGAGACAGCCTTTGATATAAACATACGTCATATCATAGAATATATTTGATTTGGTATAATCAATGTTTATTGCTATATAAATCTACCTAATACTTTTATTTATATTGAACATGAAAGAAATGTTTGTGAGAAATCAACATAACAAATACTGTACATATAATTTTCTTCTAAAACAATTCCCTGATATATTGTATCTCGTCATGTGTACTGTACATCCTTTAGAGATGATTAGATGACGAGATCCTAGATCGCGTCATGTGTACATCCTTTAGGAAAAATGATCAGATGACAAGATCCTGGATCTGGAAGGTCACTTGAAGCTTCCGTAAATAACCGACCAGATTCAACGCTGAGCATGCCTATTTCACTGTGTCGACTACACTGTCTCGACCAAATACCAAGATATTTTGGCCCGGAACTACACACCGTAGACTGGGTTCCAGTCCCTAATCTTTGTCTTAATCAGTTGAAATGCTAAAAATAAATCGATTTTGGCAAAAATGGCGTTCCATATTACTTATTTGCATGGCGTTCCATAGAATACTTTTTTGGGGATTTTCTAATTGTTGTTGTTGTTGTTGTTGCACACAACATAAAGCTTTGACTAACCTACGAAAAGTCACTTCAATAATAGTTAAGCAAGCAGATAAAGGAGTTGCTATATTCAACAGGACAGGACTATATTAATGAAGCGGAATATCAACTTACGGACACTACTTTTTATGAACAGTTAAAATCTGATAAATCTATCACTAATCAGAAAGATGTTTCGTTGGTTTCTACATTTTCAAGTAAAACTTATTTCAAAATAGTCATAATAATAACAATAATAATAATAATAATATTAATAATAATAATAATAATAATAATAATAATAATAATAATAATAATAATAATAATAATAATAATAATAATATGAACATAGTGATATAATTATTAAGTGTAAATATAAACAGAATATAAGAACTATTTCAGGAATCAAAATTAGAAGATATCATCTTGTCTCATGATGATTCTTTAACATAACAAAGCAAGACAAAAATTAAATAAAATTCTTGCTGTTGTCAATATTAACATTAAAAGTAATACATAATAAAAATACTGTATTGATATAACTATTAATTAGGACAAATCAGGACAAATCAGGACTATATTTCGTAATATATATCTTTTAAATTATAAAAAAAATGTTTAAGTAGAGTAAGCTTTTTACAAGAAATAATTTTAGTTTCTAATTCATTCCACAACTTGGGACCATAATGCGTAACAAATATTGAGTTTTTTAGTCTTTTTTATTGAGTCTTCTAAAAGGAACTTCAAATCTTTTTGCATTTCTAAAATTATGTGTATAGGTTGCTTTACGTTTACAAAAATATTTTTTAATTGAAGTTGGTATTAAATTATTTACAAATTGATACATACGAGATAATACCTAAAAGTTATGTAGATCATAAATATTACAAAATTTTGAATTTTTAAAATAAAGGTTCAATATGAGCTAAAAATGAGATGAGGATATTGATCGTACAGCACGTTTTTTTTTTTATTTCAGAATTTTCAAAAGATTGCTACAGTAATAAAACTTATAATTGTTGTAATTTCTAAACAAAGTCGAAGTCAAGATATACAAAAGGAGGGTTCTCCCGAAACATAAAATCCCCCATGAAGTCAAAATAAAGGGCACCCAGGGGAGAGAATTGCCCAGATGGAGTGTTCAACCACCTCACAATGGTTGGGGCGGAGGTAAGAAAAAATATGATTATGGCACCTCTAAATGGCTGGAAATGGAACTCTCAGATTTAAATTTAAATACAATTTTGTTTGTTTTCTCAATGTTTTTTTTGTAATTTTGAAAAAAATTAGGAGGTTGGGCCCCATGCCGAATGGGCTCCCCTTTGAATCTGCCACTGTTCAATATATAACACTTGACATAGCCTATCATTTTGTTTCACAAATAACTAATTCCTAATGTCAAGATTTTTTTATACGTAAGGCTTTTTTTTTTATATTTAATACAGTTTTTACAATCTACAGTACATTACCTACAATGTACTGTAAATTTTGTAGTTAAGCTATCAGAGAAATTTATCTTAATAAATGATCTAATTAAGTATCTTCTTGTTTTCGTTAAATTAGTTGAAATTTAAATGGGTTATACGCTAGTTTGAAGGTTTACGGTAAGGCAATCAGTTACACTTACATCTTCAAGGTTAACCCTTGACTCGTAACCAAAAAATTTTTTTTCGTACACTGAAGGAAACAGTTACTAGTGCTCCAATACAGCACTTAAACTTCCTTGTCTTAGAAGAGAGTTCGTACTATGCACTGACGCATCGAATAAAGGGATTGGTGCGCGACGGTATTTGAGTGAAGCGTTGTGGTGAAAGTTTGTTGAGCGGAACAGCTGTGTGCGAGTGACTGTGTAATATATAT